ATCAGGAATAAAGAAGAGAACAGCATTAGTGACTCTTGGTACTACAACAGAGCTTTCCGGCTGAAGAATGCAGACTTTTATAAGGATTAGATACAATTTCCAACAGACTATTCCCACTTTACAGCCTGACATTGATCTGTTTATTGAGGAATGAACTCTACACACACGGGACATCCCCTTCTGTTGATAAGCATATTTCAGTAATGAAACTCATTCATATCCACAAACTCCTGCTTCAGAAACCCTTGAGCCTTTTCAAAACGAGGAAGAGCGCTGAAAGAGTTTATATAGGTAGGCAAAGAAACTTTAGTCAACGTCCCAACATAAACACAGCACTTCATTTATGTGCAACCACTTCCACATGTTTACAGACCTCTCTGATTAAACTTCTGCAGGACAGAAGACAAAAACACACAGATAAGCTCCAGGGCACCTGGCTGACAGTTGCTCCTCCTTATCTTGGTCTTGCAAAACGTCCGGGAGAAAACACGGGAGCACACGCAGCGTTTTCTGCTTCAGGAATGCGAGAAGACGGCCTCCATGAAAAATTAACAAGTCTCTATGCTGATTTGTCATTCCCTCTTAACTGGAAAGCTTAATTAACATTAAAAGGTCAGATACTCCATCTTAACGGTTTGCCTACAACTGATTTTTAAACAGCTACATCATTACTGTTTTTACCTCTAGGACAAAACTTAGTTTGGGGAGAATTTAGAGGTTTTTCATGCAGCTTCTTCTCTTTCTTCAGTCAATGGTTTAAGCAAGGGAGCTTTAGTCACTCACAAGAAACGGGCTGCCTCTTGGAAACTGTCATAAGAGATCATTTTTCCCTAGCTGGGACACTCAGGTGCACAAGAAGTTGTTTGTTGGTGGTGGTTTTTTTTTTTTTTTTTTAAATTAACATCTTTCCAAGTAAGCAATTACTGTAAGGACAGTAAGCCATTACTATCAAAGCAGAATAACTGTGATTGCAAATGGATAACAAGGTCAGGAAACAGAATCTCCGTTAAGAAATGAAGCCTTCTTGAGACTAATTCAAAAGAGGGTTTCAAATGTTTCTCATTTACTCATCTCACAGGCAAGCTCACATTCTGTTTAAGAACAAACGCTGCCGGGTCAGCGAGCCAGATTGTGAGCAGGACAAAACCCAGCAGCAAGCTCCATAAAACGCAAGCCCCCCCCGTCAAAGAGAGCGCTCGCTTAGACCAGCAGGGCATTCTTATTCACGCCTGACAAAACACACTTGCAGAATGAAAAATAGTCTAAATTCTGTCTCTTGGTAGCCAAGCAATTCAAAACGTTGCTGGACAGCAAAGTCCTCTTATTCGGATAAGACACTCTTGCCTGCAGCTACTGCTTCAAATAAACAATCTGCATGCTCTTTAAGTTATGTCTACTTCATTTCAAGGACATTGTCATTATGAGCGTTGGTCAAGGCAGCAGCAAGAATCATCTGCATCTGAAGGGCCAAGCCTGCTGCGTACATTACCATCAGACGCTGCAGCAACTCAATGACCCTTTGCAGAGAATCTCCAATAATCATGAGTTTAAACAAAAGCCCGGGAGGGGCTGGAGCTACCATTTTATTTCAGTGCTGCTCTAGCATACGACAACGCTGAAGTATTACCGAGGTCCAAGCCTACCCTGTTTTAAAATGCCAGAGAAGCAATACTTTCTCAGTCCTGTGGGGTAGGAGCAGGAAGGAACAAATGGTTTCCATCACCTTGCAGTGACTTAAGCAAAAAACCTAACTGGGTCCAAAGCATCTCAAGCTGCAATGCAGAGCCTTTGAAAGGGAACGAAGAGAAGGAGGAAGGAAGGACAGTAAGGGAACCAGCGGCAGTTTTAGACTGGCCAGCTCTGGTACCAGCTCAGTTCTGGTACCTAATTCATCACACCAGACTATACGGCGATCTTAAAAATATTATACCTTTGCTGAAGTAACAGTGTTGTTTAACTGGAGCGTGGGTGCGGTTTGTTTGCTTGTCTGTTTGTTTTTTTTCTTTTTAAATAGGATAAATTTCACTCTTGGGCTGATCCTAATCTCAGCATGCTTTCTTCCTGTAGAAACCAAGACCTCTGCCTTCTCTTGTGTCTTACCTGACCTGCAGGGCTGCACCGATGCTAAACGAGCATCCCAGGGCCACCCACCAAATGTGTGGCCAAGGCAGGATTGGGACCTGCAGTTCCAGAACATGAGATGCCTCCAGGAGAGCGCTGACCATTCACCCCGGAGCGACCGAAGAGATAAAATGACGATCTATGACAAGTTACAGCAATCTCCGCGGTAAGGTGGCAGAACTGAACGTGTGCTGAATCCCTCAACTACTACAGTCGCTGGCACTGGGAGAGATGGGAGAGGATGGGCAGCTCGTTCAGCTGCTCCCAAATGCGTTGGCCAGAGCCCATCTGAAGGCAATCCCAGCATCTCCCCACTCTTCGAGCGGATTCCTTTGCAAAGCACCAATTTTTTAGCCTCAAAACTGAAGCTCTTTGTTTCTTATAATCAAGAACTACCATAGTTTCAGAAGTCCATTTTTCACACAATACGGCAAACAGCAGGGCTCACCTGGAGGTAGATTGCTGCCTCTTGGTAGTTCATTTCCCAGTTGTGTCGGGCAGAGCTTTGCTGCGCACAGCAGTCCCCCGCAGCAGGGCTGGATGCATCATTAACAACGTCATAGCTACCTCCATCTGCATCAGTACAGTAAGAGAAAAATTGATTTACAATTAAGCGAGCTGGGATTGATCAGGAGGCATGCAAACAAGCCAGGCACTGGGACCAGAGACAAGCAGCAAGAGGTGGCAGAGTACCCGGGAATCTGGCAGCTTGTACACAGACAAATTGACTCTTCCCACGTAGAAGCTTTTACGAGACACACTCAAACTCAGCACTTCAACACAGGAATGCTCCCAGAAGATCATCAAAAGAGACAGCATCCTATTTAATACAATAAGCAGGTCTCCTGGCTCAGGAGATCTGCGCTGTCATGTTCGTAGCACACTATCAGCAGTCATAAACTATAAACAGGCAGCTAACAGCTAGAAGCCTCCGAGGATGTCCAACCCACGGAATAAAGAGCGGGCTTGCTAAAGGACACTGCCTTTTCGCATTTAACGGTAGGGGAGACCGCGGAAGAACGCAATACAGGACTGCGACAGGCCAGGGAAACCAGTCTGAGTACAGAAGCTGTACGGTACGCTAAGAGCAGCGGTCAGTATTTTTAGTAGAAAGGCTCATTTTTCAGAGCTCTACAGAGTCATTGAACAACGCATCCTTGCAACGCTCTTTTTGGTGCGGATAAATACCAATGCTCCTCTGCTGAAAACAAACAGCAAGATTAATTTTCCGCTCATATCCCATAGATTGATTTTGAAACTTCTAAGGGCGCGGCGGTCTCATCAGTAAAGCACTACAAAACAACGAACATTTGTCCCAGAATTCATAACTCAAAACTTCATAAAAAAAAATAAAAATACAATTCTATTGCAAAAAGCAACTCCCAAGCATAGCTACACATACATAGTGTCCTTCCCACAGGAGAGTTACGCAGGACAGGTATATAAACTCCAGAATACTTGCCATTTTTTGCATTCTACAGCCTCAGTGCTATTAAGACACGTGAAAAACATGCACGAAGACAATTTGTTCAAAAAGGGAATGTCACTTGGCTGCTTCTTCTGGGACTGGGGTTTTTATTTTGCACCTTTGACAAAGAATACGGAGCAGAGACCCCCCAGGAGCGAGCCCTGCTTAGGGCCACGCAAGAAACCTGCGGTGGAGCTGTCCACACGCTCCGTTCTCCGGAGTCTCCATCGTTACCCAAACCACAAGGTTGTTCTTGCTCTCAGCAGAGACTTCCCTCCTCCAGTGCCTCACGTTCCCGAAGAGGGTACATGTAAAATTGATCTTGCCAGTGCAAAAGTGCTGATTTCCCCCTTTTTATGAGCCCGGCAGCTGTGAGGTGGTAGCTGCTTCTTTCTTATGAGAAGTTATCTGAGAGCAGGCCAAAAATGACAACAAGGTTGTTTTCCTCTCTCATGCCAGCATGCTGAAGATTTGCTGCATCTCTTTGCTACGACAAAACGAATAATAAAAAACCCCAAATAATCCTCATTGAATTACTGATTCAGTCTTTCAGAGTGGGGAGAGGGACAGAGGCAGAAACCCCTTCACCAATGCAGAGCCACAGCTGCCTTTTTCACCCTCAAAATCCAAATAAGATAACATTTATCTGGGATTTGAGAAGGCTTTCCAGATTGCATACTCAGATTGCTGAGAATCCTGCAGCGTTTACGCCTATTTCTCTTCCTTGCTTCCCCCGTACCCTTAAAATACCACTCAAAATCTGGACGAATGTTTGAATGAGGCTGACTCTTCCCCCACGCCTCTTTTACACCTTGAATGAGCACAGTGCTGGAAAAAAATGAAGGATAGAGATTTTATTTATCCACAGAACTGGAATGGCAGTCTTCTGGGTTTGTTTGCCTTTTAAGTGAAAGGTGACAGCAATCTGCAAATATCAGCAGCTTTACATTGTGAGCTTTAAAAAGTTCTTAAATGTTATTATTTACGAAGATTTTACTGGATATGCGTTTCAGACTCCCTCAAAATACGGCCTGGTAGCAAAAACCTTTTTGCATTTAATGCTTAACAGAGGTGCAGAAGGAGCACATCTTCATCAGAACCTGGACTCGCTGCTGAAGATCTTTGCTGCCCAGAAGACAAGGATTTTCCAATCCTCATTCCCATCCTAACAGATGGTTTGCTGCCCGACGAAGCACACTGCAGCCCCGTCCTGCCTGCCTTCCCCTCCGTCGGGAATTAAGCTGGGTCACAGCAGAGGCAAGAGCACAAGGCGGCCTCCAGCCCCCAGCCTCAAAGACCTCAAGCGTTGCCGTAGCCAGGCGCAGAGCTGCCAAACACCCCCAAACTTTGCGACGGGGACATCGGAGCAGAGAGTGCAACCTCTTCTCATCACACATAACCTGAAGATACAAATCAGAAATGTGCTGTAGAGCCATCCCGCTAACGTCGTGGGTGGCACGCATGGCTCCGGGCATCTTCAAGTTCTGGACATCTTTGCATCTACAGCACATTACCCACAGCTCCTTCATCATCCAAGGCTGCAGGATGCCTTGCTCAAACCAGCAACAACTGGGAAGGCGCTAACAGGAGCCGGTTTCAGGCCTTTCCGTAACTCACCTCCAAAACACCGCAAGCGTTCAGAGAAAATCCCAGTGTGATTCGTCTCACACAGTTCAGGGGATACTGAAAAAGCACAGGATCGACACTGGCTGCAGTAGCTCTTTTGGGGAGGAGGGACGTATTAAACAGGTTGCTTACAATATCACCGTGGTATTGGAGCGTTACAGTATATACAAAATTTAAGAGCATCAAAACATACTGTGGCCAAATCAGCAAAGCTTTGTAGCATTAAACAAAACACCAAAACCCTGTACCCTATCAAAAGATGCCCAAACTACCTTTAACCCTGAAGCAGTTCTATCGCAAAGGCCAATCCTTCTTTGAAAAGGATCAACACTAGGAAAAGGTACACCCCGGTAAAAACCCAGGACCCCTCTCTGCATTTCACACAGCGGACTCGCAGCCGAAACAGAAGAGATGTCCCAGTGAGATCAAGGTTGCGAATACAAAACAGCACTCAAAGATGCAAATCAGAAATGAAAAATAACTCTAGGAACCAAGACGTTCTCCTCCTGCCTAAACCAGACATCACCTTTCCAGGCACAGACAACAGAAAACGTACTGGTGAAGCGTTCTGGTGGGGAGCTGCAGTTTGTGGATCAGCTCCTTCCCCATCAGGTACCAGAAGGTTGATCTAGCATCCCTGAGGCAACAGCATCATCTGGGTAATAAATAATAATAAAAATAATAATAAATTTGAAAAGCAACCCTCTGACTGTTTGTTTGGCAGCCCTCCAGCTAGCTAATTTCCTCAGCTGCTCCCCTGATAACAATGACACAGACTAATGCAACCTCTGCTCCGCTCAGCTCGTGCTGCAGAACATCCCCGACGGCATTTACCATTAGTATCGAGCTCAATGAGATAGGAGGATCTCTCCACAGGACTCCCGTAATCCTCGAAGTAGATGGCAGGCGGCTCTCTCCACCGCATGGCAGCCGCCGCGTCGGCAAGCGGGCGCGCTTGTGTTCGGGGTTGGGGAGAAGGAGACAAGTCAGGGCTGAAGTTCCTCCCTCCCTCCCCTCCGAAAGCCGATCCTCAATTTCGCGGCTTCCTCAAGGGAAAGCTACGCTTTTCCTCTGCTCTCTGCAGAACTGAACGTTTCCTCCCCTCCGAGGAGGGTGGCTCAGACTTCAGTTAAATCGTTTCCCTATCGCCGTCTTAGCAGCGGGGTGTTTCTAAGTGCAAGTTGTTGGAAGGCTTAACTGCGGGACGAAGAGCTTTTAAGCACGAGCGCGGTGGTAAAGCGAGGCTTCATGTGCCATGCTCTCTTATTTTGGCATAGAGCAGAATTTGCTCACCAGCAAACGTGGACAGCTAATGGGAAAGGAGTCAAAGTGCTGACTAGTCACAGCAAGGCGTCTTCCCCCCCCCGCCCCGGCAAAAAAAGAAAATAGATGTTTGTGAAGTTCACAGGACAAGGGGCATGACAAAGTAAACGAACTGAGCCCTTCACAGATGGCAAAGCTTCCTTCCACACTTGTGTAACTTATCCCAGGCGTTCCCTGAAAAGGGAGAGAGGGAGGGGAAAAAAAGAAAAGAGGAAAAAAAGAAAAAGCAAAACCAGCTGGCTGCTTACACAAGGCATCCGGAACGATACTGCCGGGACTCCAACATTTCCATTCAGTGCAGCAGAGCATGCTCCTGTGTAAATAGTTTCCATATGTCATCATTACAATAAAAAACAAAAAAACAAAAAAGAAAGAAAGAGAAGGAGCATAAACTTCCCTCAGCCCTAACCTCTCCCTTTGCAAAACAAATTCCCTACTTAGGGGAAGGAAAAACTCTCCATTGGCTGAGCGAGCAAACACACTCCTCGTTCGGAGGAGCTCGCGGGGGACCTCGAGGGCAGGGCCGAGAGGGAATAAGGGACAGAAAACATTCACAGGAGCCAGGGAGAAATCACCCTTCCCAGCCAGGTTATTTTATGTCAAACTGAAGTCAATTTGGACTTTCATTGTTTCATCTTTGGTGTCTGCATTGGTTTTAATAAATAATAATAATTTAAAAAAAAATCCAACAAACTAGTAACCTCCTACAAATTCAAAGAGTTATAAACAAACTCTACAGAGTAGCTCTTACATTTGCCTCAGAGCTCCCCCCGTCTGGCTCTCATTAGCCTGTTTGCCAGATGTTCTGCTTTCTAGATAGCACACACTTTTTATGGCATTACACTGGAACAGACCGAGATGCCTCTAATTAGCTCCTCGACTGACTCCACAGCCGTGTGCCTTTACCGGACTTAGCAGGGCTTTCTCCTAAAAGGTTGAGGAAGGTCTTGATGGAGCTGCTAGTTGCCATTCTGTCCAGATAATGCTATTTTTAGCAAGTATACTTGTGATGACAAAACTCTGCAAACTGTGTGGAAGGCAGGGTAAGTGACATAATTCAACAATACTGTTCCTGTAGTTAAACCTGTCATTCATGCTGTTTACACATCACCGGTGTAGTCAGCCTAAGACAGCAGTATGCAAGTCACTCGTCTGA